CTTTGATCCCCCTGGCTTACACAGCCTTGCCCAGACTTACATGAAGCAAAACAGTGCTAGAAAAAAAAATACTGACAGTGATATGGCTAAGATTTAGGTGTGGCATAGTGACAAACATGTGGAAAGAGTAGTAAAATTAAATATAGAGGTGCTGGGAATCGGCTCCCCATCCCATGAATATTTTCCTAAATAATATGGCAGAGTTCCAGTAGGACACACTGTAAGTAACACACTCCAGAGGAGCCGACAGCTCAGTGGGCACGGGTTGCTCCTGTGAGGCTGAAAAGTGTGTTTCATACTCCTCAAGTAACTTCTGTAAAGAAAAAATTGAAGGGCTAGTCCCTGAGGTCCCCAAGTAAATGCTCTAGCCATTGGATTACTTGCTGGTTGAGACTGTCTCTGCTGTCACCGTCTCCATTCTTCTCTTCCTTTCCAGAAAGGTTGGAGGGATAGGAGAAAAACTTTCAGAAGTTTGCCTTGCTCTTAAAATCTTTACAATCGCTTCTGTGGGGTGGGCAATTCAGCCCTAGTACCTGACCAACCTCCTTCCATTCTGTTTGTGGACTGTGACACTGGAATTAATGTATCACAAACAGTTCCTGACAGCAGGGATAGTTTGTTCATGCCAGACAATGCCAAGCAGAAAAGATACAATTCTTTTTTGAGTTTTTGTTTGGTTGGTTTAAGGAACTAAATTGTTTATCCTCAGAATATCAGTTACAAATATTCCACACATTTTCCCATGCACTGAAAGGAGAGGCATTCGGTATCCTAAGACTTTACTGAAGGTAGCTTTTAGAATACATTTTCTGAAATGAATAGATGAAGATATTAGTCAGATTTCTGAGGGAGAAAAAATCACAGAATCACAGAATCAGGTCAGGGTTGGAAGGGACCTCTGGAGATCATCTAGTCCAACCCCCCTGCCAGAGCAGTGTCACCTACAACAGGCTGCACAGGACAGCTTCCATGTGGGTTTTGAATGTCTCCAGAGTGGGAGACTCCACAACCTCTCTGGGCAGCTTGTTCCAGTGCTCCAGCACCGTCAAAGTAAAGAAGTTCCTCCTCATGTTAAGATGGAACTTCCTATGTTCAAGCTTGTGCCCATTACCCCTAGTCCTATCACTGGGCACCACTGAAAAAAGACTGCTCCCATCCCCCTGGCATCCTCCCTTTAAGTATTTGTAAGCATTAATAAGATCCCCCCTCAATCTTCTTTTCTCTAGACTAAAGAGACCCAAGTCCTTTAGCCTTTCCTCATATGAGAGATGTTCCAATCCCCTAATCATCTTCGTAGCCCTTTGCTGGACCCTCTCCAACAGATCCCTGTCTGTCTTGAACTGGGGAGCCCAGAAC